ATTATTTGTAATTTTAGAGAGTGAGTCACTAAGTGACTAATTATCCCTACTTTTGATTTGTTTCCTTCAATTAGCTATTGAATTATAAATGTATTTTAAAAGTTGATAACTTATGTATTTCTTATCGATTTTACATATATAATTAATCAAATTAATCATCTTTTCATGATATTCAATTTGACATCCATATTGTATATATAAAATAAATAAATTATATTTATCTTTATAATAATAAAAAATAATAATATTTATTAAAAGTTATTAGAAAAATAAAATTATTTCTCAGTTGATATATTTATGTTTAATGTAGTTATATGTTGTAAGCTAAAAAAATTATTATAAGATAACACAAGTAAGTCACACAAATAAAAAGTGTCATATTAGATATATAGTAATATATATATTTTAATAAAAGGTATTTAAATTTTCAACTACTTCTTCTCATTAATTTTAGATTTTAATGAAAAAATTAGCAAGCACCCGTGTAACACACGGGCGTTGTACTAGTAAATAAATAATTATATATTAATTAAACCGGTTCGCCCACTATTCCAACCAGTGAATCATCAGTAATTTTATCGTTTTAACCGGTTCGATTCTCAGAACATGATTGTTATTATAAACCGATGTTAGGCATCATATTTTTTATTTAATATAGGAAAATAACTGTTCACATTCTCCAACTCTCCTTCCGCTCTGAATCTCCAACCCTCTTTCTGCAATTTTTTTCACGCCCCCGTCGCCGTAACATTTCCGTCCATCGCACTCTGCCTTCGCCGTCCGCAGCACTCGGCCCTTGCTGTCCGACGTCTTCCTAACTCTCGTATCGCCCAAAATTGATCGAAGCTCTAGTCGCACTCGGCCTCCATCCATCCCAATCCCTAGTCGTCCGCTACACTTAATCCGCCCGTCGCCGTAACAATATCCGTCCGCTGCACTCGGCCCTTTCCGGTCGCCGCCTTCCTAACTCCCGTCTCGCCCAAAATCGATAGAAGCCCTAATCGCACTCGGCCCTCCGTCTGTCCCAATCCCTAGCCGTCCAGCACACTAAATACGCCCTCGCCGCCCGTCACAATCCCAGTCGCACGCCGCCGGTCATCCTCTCTTAGACCTTGGGAACTCAAATACGGTAATGCCAATGAAATTTATATTGTAGTGAATTTAATCGTGTGTGTTTTCTGAATTTGCCAATATGTTGCTGTTTAATTGGAAATATTGTTGCAGCATAATCATATTATGCAGCTTATTGTTATTGTTAAAGCCATCAAAGCTTTAGAATCAAAACTATGGATGATTTGGTCCAAACCAGCAAGTTGTTTTGTGACTTGTAACTAAGTGAATTTCTTTCCCCTTCACAAAATTTTATTAATCCATTTGATTATCCTAATGTAACAATAATAATGTAGAGGCAAAGTTGATTATCTATTGTAATCACAAAGTACAAGATAATGAGTTATCCTTCTTTTGGCATACAAAACTAATAATCAGTTGGCACTTTGTAATTGCACAATAAAACTGGACTAGCAGTCCAGAGAGGGATTCTTGATTTGAGAAACTATGAGTTCCCCTTTGTAATTGTGCCCTTTTTTTTGTTGTGTGTTAAATGCCTAAAACACTACAAAATGTCCAAGCCTCACAACAAGTGGAATACTAATTAAAACATACCAGCAAAAAAAATGACATTAATCAACTATATTTTAGCATTCAAATGCTTCTAATAAGAATCAAGGTAGGCAGTTGATAAAATGTGATTATTCTCATCACAAAATGCATGAATTTAAGCAATAATCGAGAATTTATGAACTTATAAGTTCTCGATTACTTCCTATAAATGTAGTATTTGACATATTGCACGGCCATTTTGAATTCATCTCCATCAGAACTTCCTATCTCTCGACTCGTAGGTTCGAAAAATTTTCATATATGTATATAAAAGAAAAGAAAACACGTTTAGGGCTTAGTTTTGAAATAATCGAAATAAGAGCATCTCCAATGCTTTAATGTTGTTATAGATCAAATTTTGACAAATGTCAATAAATTAAATGTATTGTGGACCATGTAGGAAAAATGTTAAGTTTACAATTATTAAATTAAAAAATAATCTCCAATGCACAATGTAGCCTAACTACAATATAAAATTTATAGTATGCCGAATTATACATACATTTTTATATACATCTACAAATAATACGTGTATATATCCCGTCTTCGTTTATGTCGACATTTTTTGTTTATCGACTTCTGCACTAGATTGAATTGTTTATAGTTCTTTGAAGATATAAACACAAATCGGGTAAAATGTCATACAAGTATTGTATGCTATTTTCTATTGTAAGTTTAAAATTTGTGTATATAATCTGTAATATTTCGGTTATAAAACCAAACCTTACAATTATGAGAAAATTAAGGACATGGGGAATAATAGGAAAAACTTAATATTTTTTATGAAAAAAATAAAAAAATCATGAAATTAACTATCTCGCAATACAATTGCCTCGCAATACATACTGTATATGAGTGATATATATACTATATACGGAAGATACACATATTATATACTGTTGTGGCCTAACGGCGGCCTGAGGTTGCCGCACAGCGGCGTCTGTTCTTCCCCTCCTCGACGGCGTAGAGTGTATTTCGGTGGCGTCGCCGTGGTCGGCCGGGAATTGTGTGACGGGGAGAAGGTGATGGAGTCCACTATCGGGAATCTCCCCAATTGTCGGAAATAGTAGAAGAAGAGAGGGTGGGAGAGAGAGAAAGTGTCGTGGGATCAAGGGATTATTACCAATTATTTTGGGAGGTGATTTATATATGTAAATTATTGCTATAAGAGATTTATGGTAATTATTATGCAAATAAAAACAATAGATCTTATGATATTGCCAATATTTATGAACTGGTTTCATTTATGTAATAAAATGAGAATTGTATTGTATAGAGTGTAATTTTCTCAATAATAAAACCAATAGAAATCACAAATGAAAAAGTACTATCAGACAAATCAAGGATCCATTGGGCTGAAATATGTTGAAGAATTTGGCCCAAAGACGTACTCTACAATCTAGGGAAATTTTCATCTCTGCTACTTGATTTTAAACTAATTGCAATTTTACCATACAAATAGAAATAATTATGTCTCTACCTAAAAGACATTATTTATTTTCATTAATGCC